CACTGCTTCCATTGCCTGGTGGAGTAACACACACAAATAAAGAGCAATTCCTCAACAGGAGGATTCACCAAGCTTGGACATATGGAAAAGAAATAGCAGCCTAAGAAAATCCAGGGTTAGTTTAGGGTGATATAAATTTCTTTATATTCCAAAGGCACATAATGAAAATGTTGAGGCACAGAATTAAACTGCACGGTTTGACCATATACAAGCAGGCACTAAAAATCACTCCCCATCTTCACTTATTAGCAAGTCTGCTCCATGCAAGCCACTGACAAAACAGAAGGAAATATGTTCATGTGCACAGAGCAACATTTGCTTCCTAAAGCATTTAAAAAGTATTCAACAAGAGCAAACACATAATTCTTTATTAAACAATCAAAGACAGCAAGCGCAAGTTTCTGTTGTCCCATCGTATTATGCTACTAATCCTCTTTGGATGGCAATCAAAAGACCCTGAAATGCCAAGCTATAACAGTGGATTTCCAAGCAGTAGTAGCCTCTGGCTCTTTGGCTGAGTCTTCAGTCGCTTGTTTTGGCAGACAGGAGTTACCCTGGTTGTCAGATGGCAAGTTCCCAGTGTGCTTACCAGGGCTACCTCAGACATCTTCATCTTACTTGCAGGACCGCCTCTGACATTGTGGTTTTACTTAAAGAATGGTTTTATTTGTAATAGAATTAATTCTTCTCTTTTCAAAGAGGAGCTGGGTTACTACTATTGTATTCTAGGCAATGTTCAGTTACCGCATTTTTCTACTTCATCCATTGTTTGCATGCCAAGCTTTGATTTCAGACATTAGTATCAGCAGACACTTAAACACAAGACCTTAATGGACTGTTTAAACAGGAATTCAGCTGTACTATTTCCTACAAGCACCTACTGAAGCCTTTTCCTGAGTCTCTCCCACTAACAAGTAAACAAGCATGTTTTGTAGCTTCCCCGGCTCTTACTTATGCAGGAAACTTAAATGTTATGAATGTGCAGCAGCCACTGCTGGGAGAACAGAGTTTAAAATGTACACACAGCATAGAAGGTTTGTCATTCTGTGTCATTTTAGCAGCAAGCTGAGATGAACACTTGGAAAATGAGTCAAATCGTTACATGCTGCGTATGAGTAACCTATGGAGGCACGGTGTTAATAAACTCTAGACATTGGTGGTTACAGTGGGCTGCCATCCAGATTTCAAGATGGGGTCATGACATCCCTAAGCATCTCAGTGCCAAGAGGGAAAAAAAGAAAAAAAGTAAAACAACCTGCCTTAAGCTTAAAGGCTATGCTGTTTGAAATGGTGGGCTGCCTAGAGATAAGAGCGAATTGGAGTAGAATTGGGCAAGAAATGGACTGACATGAACATGGAAAAAACAGGACGGGGCCAGAGGTTTCTGCATTAAGCAAATTATATCACAAATAGCAAAGAGAAGTCATCTCTGTTATGCCCCCTGCCATTGTGGAGTGCCTGTGAACCCCACTGGCAGTCATCCTGTAAGCCATGCTGCTTGGCACTTCCATCCCTTGTGCTCGGTGTATGTCACCACTCCTACCCCTACCCTACTGGTGACCTGCAGATGGATTAAGAGCCTCTTATTTTTAGACTGGGAATCTTATGCCAGAAGATTCAATTAGAAGCACTGGGCAAGGTTACACTTTGTTCAGTCATTTACTGTTTTAGCATCAATCACATGCAGTGAAACACTAGAAGTAAAGGAATGCATTGCCCAACAGGCAAAGAAACAGTTATCATAATAAAGAATCAAGATGAAGAATGTGTTCTCTAGAAATTAGAGTCCCCACAATCAGCATCTAGCTGTTATTAGTTTCAGTTTTAACAAGCTCACACAAAGGAAAACAACATGCATTTCTCCATATTTCACACAAGTGTTCAGCAACTCAAAAAAATAAGTCAGTATATTAATGAACATTTTACATTCTACTTATTAATTACCAAAGTACTGACTGAGGATGTGTGCAGATATGCATTTGTGATACAAAGGGTCGTACCTCAAGGCGTTAAAGAAGTACAAAATTTAGCAAGGACAGCACCTGATACACGTGTGCATTTATCCCCCCAAATACTCGAGTGCACTACTGCTACAGGGTTCAGCTGTGTATGTAAATGTATGGCAACTATTCTAACACAAGAGCTTTCCTTATTTAATGCAATGAAACATGCATCAGGTTAATCAGAATTGCAAGCAGACAAAAATGAGAAACTCTAGCAAATGATTTTAATATGAGGTAAAGTTTTGAATTTTATCGCCCACATCCACAAAATTCTTGATCTGTTCCTTCTCACCCTCACCACAGAGCTGAAGTCAGGACCAGCTAAATAAAAGGTAATGCAACTAGGCATAACACAATAAAAGATATTACCTTCACAATGCATTATTGCTGCCAATTATAAGAATCACTTCAACTTAATTTCAAAGGCACAATCACCCTCAACTGTAACAGCCTCTTTTTTAAATTTCAAACAGTATTACATTAAGGCAATAACTCACCTTCCAGCTATAATATCAGTCTCCCTTATTGCAAAAATACATTTCATAAATACTTCTCATCGACAAGTCAAGCTAATTCAGGTTAATTTCATTGTATTTTGGTGCTATCTCGCATTTGTGTGCAATTACCTTTATCATTTTATTGCCATGCCAGAAAGTAATCAGAACAATTATTTGAAAAAAGGAGGTGTATAAATTCTAAATCACACTTGCTGGCATTTTTGATAAAATAGCAGCTTTATCTCCGAAAGTGGCAGGGACATTGGATAAATCATGCATCAGTCAAGTGGAGCTGACCCCCAAGTGCATTGCACAATATCAGGAGTGCTTCAAAAGAAACTTTCCTACATAATCCATCATTCTCTATAATACCAAAACAGCTATACCTGAAGAGCGGGAGCTGGAGAATAACAACAGAATAAATCTAGGCAATATGAACAAAACCATTAATAGTGCTCCTTTTTAAGCTAAAGGAGAGTCGGGAATCTGAATTGTGTTCAGGAAAAGAATTTCATTGAAATTCTTCAAGTGAGCGGAACAGCTTTAAGCGTGAATGGAACAGCGGTCTGTGTCTTAAGGATCCACTGAAAATACAAATGCGTGTGCAGAAAAAATAAATACTCACAAAAGACACGTCAAAAAGACTCGCACAGAAATAGAGGATTACAGTCTTGACACACAAAGTCTGAATTTTGCTGTCGTTACCAATCTGAGTTCACTTGAGCACAGGTGTTTCACTACGCTGAGCACAGAGAACAAAGCAGAACGTTCAGTAAAAAGAAATAAATAGCTTACTAAGGTTAAATTTTAAAACTGCAAAATATCCACAGAACAGAACTGTATTTAGAATTCTATAGAATAGAAAAAAAAATGCCACAGTGTCATGAGAACACCATAAAAGCAAAAAGTTCCCAAGCAGATGCATTCCTAATGTATGCTCATGCACACAGAATCACTGAGGTTGGAAAAGACCTCCAAGCCCACTTAGTGCAACCATCCACCTCCCACCACCACCTCCCCACATCACTGGGGCCAGGCTGCAGCCTCCATTTCTCAGGCCCAACTTCCACCTCTGGTAAGTGCAATGCAGCTACAGAGCCTTGGTACCCAGAGGGATGCAACAGCCATTGAGGAGAGCACCCACACCTGGCTGCAGAACGTGTGAGTGATGTACAGCTTGTGCCACAAATATACTGTGCAGCTGTACTTCCAGTGAAACTGCAAACTGATCATAAACGTGGAGATAATAAGGAATCATGAGCAACAGTCTGTTCCTACACATACAGAAGGGTGTGAGGATCAGCAGCAGGGAGCTGGGGAGCCTTGGCTGTGCCTGCACAACTCCCTTCAGCCTTCTGCTCCCCATAAAGCACGGGGCTGAGAGCCCACATTTTGCCTCAGACCTTCTGCCATCCAACACATCAAAAAGGGAAAGCCCCCCTAACAGCTAACACCGTACTCTTCAACTTGAAGGGAGAGTGGGAGAACTGAAAAGGTTAGGTAATAAATTATCAGTTTCATGTTGCTTACCAGCTCTGTCACACCCAGCTTTGAATGAGAGGCAACCAGTGACTATTCCAGATATGTGTGGTGGTTCATAAGATCATCACACATCTCTCTGCAATTATCCAAGGTACCTGTTACAAGATGCCTCCAACCAACAGGCACACAAGTATAAGCCCACAGAATATTGGGTAAAAGAAAAAAACAAGACATGAATTTATCTCCCAGAATTTCCTTCCCCAACTGTTCAATTTTAAAGAAACAGAAAGCATTTTCTTTTAGTGGGTACAAAGGCATGGCATATGCCAGAATACTGCTTTTCCCAGCCAGTACATGAAGCAAATCAAAAGCACAAGAGATGCCACTATTAAAACATTTGTAATAGTGATGGAAGCTGCCAGCAGGAATAGTTAGGATGCAAGTTTGATTGAACTAGAAATATTTTCCTGGAGGAGCGTTACTATTGTTACAAAAGTAGTTATTTCACACACAAAGAAGTATTTTCAAAGTTCATTTGAATTATTTGAAGACTAACGCTGCTGAGTATAAATGCGCCAATGCTGCCCCTCAGCAGGGAAAGTCATTCTGAATTTCCTGGTCGCAGTGCTGTCCTGTTTTACTACAAACATTTCCCTACACTTAGACCTTACTGAAGAATTAAAGTCCACAATTCAGCATGCATCTATTTTTCAATAAATGAGGCATTTATGAGGGGAAGGGAAGCAAACAGCCAACTTAACACAGAAAAGGTAGCACTGTCCTATCAGTTTATGCTCCGAGGAAGATAGATACGTGCTGAGGAAAGGTCCACTGATGCCTGTTACCAACCATGACAGAGCTACAGAGATTTACAGTGCAGCATCAATCTTGTCAACTGGATCCTTAATACTGACTGCTGGACACTGGGGAAAAAAACAAACTATGTTACGTGAATTCTTTCTTAATGCCAGCCCCCTAACATATACCTAAATGTAAGGGTATCTTACAAGGAACTTACTTTCGGAACGTGCCTTGCTGCCATGGTAGATGAATGATGTCTGCCTATAAGAAAAAAATAATCTTCATTAGAAAATGTAATTAGAGTATCACAGGAAGCACAGTACATCAACATGATTTTATTTATTTATTTATTTATTTATTTTTAAGAACTTTGTATCATTTTCTTTAAACAGGCTCTATCTTTTAGTACAAATAACAACAAAGTAAAGGTTACTTATTTAAGTATTCGCTTCTGTTTTCAAGCAAATAGGAATGCTGATGCTCATCAGGTCATCTCTTGCTTGCTGCGAGGCAAAAGCAACACCACAACACATTCTTAACAAGCAAATTTTGATCTTTCCTACAAGAATGCCCTCTAAGACCTGCTATGAACTCAGGAATTATCTGTGCAGGCATTTGGTTCAGAGGCATTTAGTAATATAAACAAACTTCTGTATTTTAGGGAGTTATGTATTTTAAGGAATGAAAGCAAGAGACTTCCATAGTAAGACTTGGGGCTTGAAAGCAAAGCTTGCAAAGTACTCAGAAGCACACAGGAAATGTTAATTACTGGAACTGAAATACATCTTTTAAATGTACTATTAACAAAATGGTTCCTCTGCTCTCCCTTTTGAAATACAAGACAACTGTTACTTCCTCAGCATTTCATTTTTCCCCTTCACTTTCTTCTCAGCATCACTACGTTAAAATCACTGTGTCTCCACACAGATCTGCTACAACAAGACATTTTGGAAATCAAGGCAGCTGTCACAGCTCAGCCAAAATCCACAGGGAGCTCTGGCCTTCAGCCAGGGAACCCAATCCATGAGGTCCCTTCCAACCCAAGCCATCCTCCAATCTATGCCTCAATGCGAGGAGGGAAGCTCAGAGCACCTGAATCTGAGCACTGAAGCACCTGCATCTTTGGGAACCTGAATATGAATACAGGCCACACAGAACAGCATCTAAACACTTTGCCTCACTTGCACCAAGCATCACACAATCACCATTTAACAGTTAATTGGGCATCATGTGCACCCTGTGCTAGAGCAGCCAGGCAGTCAGAAGGCATTCGATACCAGGGAATGGAGGCTGAGGCCTCAAATTAAACCATCGCCAGAAATAAAAGGGAAGGACAACAAAGCAAGAGGGAAGGCTGCAGCCCTACAGTCAGATCCACTTCACCTCAACACATTTTAGACATCCCTCAAGTTTCACTAGAAGTATTTGGTTTTGTTTTTTTTTTTCCTTTTAAGACAGAAATGCTTGGACCCATCTGAAAGTAAGGAGCGGAATTCCCAGTGACGCATTTTAACATTTTACATGCTGGACAAGCATGAAAACTTATGAGATAACAAAAAGCTGAAAAATCCTTGGATGATGAGCACAGCAAGAAAGCACAGCTGAGAGCAACGCACTGCTATCTGCCAAGCACCTCTTCCACCACTCATGTATTCACTGAATGCTGCAGCTATTATAAAAGAAATCTAAGTAAACATTTCAGTATAAGCTTGAATAAAACTAAAGCATCAGAAAGTAGAAAAAACATAAAAATCAGTAACTGTGAGGGGATGGATGTCAAATGCAAGCTTTCTCTATCTATTAATCATACCTGAAAGGCAAGGGAATGCAAACTATCCTTCCTGGCAGGCAAGGAGTGCTCATTCTGTGCCAAGCAGCTGTCTCTGGGACAGCATCATTCAGCAAACGTCCCTTTTCAGAAGAAATTTATGGTACTTATTTGCAGCAAAAGTGTTGTCTGCTTATGAAAGAAGCCACATCAAATACAAAAAAATAAACAAGACTTGAAGTTGTTTCAAGCAGCAGCTAATTCCTGCAGTGGCAACAGCAGCTTAATCACTACTGAAGTTCTACACAAAGCACTGATGTTTATTGCAAAATCTCCTCATCATCCCATAAAGATGCTCTCATACCTTAGATGGAATCCACACATTTGAAGGCAAATCCAGATCAGTCACTGAAATCACCTACAACAGTTTTATGCAACTCCCTTTCAGGCTTCCTCAATGCAATTGATGACACAGCCACCCCTACAACTTCACACCAGGTGTGCCTGCAAACAGCACTTTCTACCTGCTGCACCAGAATGAAAGCCTACTGTAAGCAAACGCAGCTCAGGAGGGCATGGGGTCTGGCAGAGAAACTGGCTGACTTTGAGACTGGACGGTGGCAGGAAAGGATCCAGCTGTAAGGATCCTTACACAAAGACTTACTGAACACTCTGCAAGCGCCCCGGCTGCACGCTGAGGAGCTCTGCAGAGCAGGAGATGCGCAGGGGAAGCCCCTGGACACACAGACCTGGGGAGCACGGCAGCTGAGAAGGACAAATGAAGCAATTAGCTGGACAGAAGCTGCACGGTGTCCGAGGAGACCCGATGATTGATGACTGTTCATGACCCATTTCTGCCCCAGGTGGAGCTCTCCAAGTGTCAGTATGGCTGACAGGTGGATCCAACAAACATAGTAAAACCCAAACCACAGGGCCAGGGAGAAGGCCTGCAGCTGTGCTGGGCAAAGCCATACAGGACAGCCCTCCAGCTTCAGAGGGCTGGGGAGTTTCAAAGTATGGCTCCAAAATGCATCTCATCAACCTTTCAACGAGGCTGCCCCATTACAAGAGGCCAATACATGCACTAACTCATTTGCAAATGCAGCTGAAGGCTCCCCTAAGGCTGATAGGCTAAGAACTCAGAATCTCTCCCGAATGGCACAGGAATGACTTTTCAGACTCAACCACGATCACAGAACATCCTGAGCTGGAAGGGCCCCATAAGGAGCATCAAGTCCAGCTCCTGGCTCCACACAGGACTGCCCTCATTCTGGCTCACGTATCAGAAACCAAGATCCCAGAATCACTGAACCTGCCTTAAAGACTGAGCTCTCACCATCACCCACTTCACCAAGGTAGGTGGTTTCCTCCTACACCTGCAGAGACTGGACAAACTGAAGGGACTGAATCAGGAGCAAGAAGTCAAAAAAGGCAAAATCTGTCCCCACCCTCATTGGCTGGCACAGAGCTGCCTGGCTGGGACCAAGGAAGCCCACCTCCCACTGAGCTCCTCCTTTGGTGCCCTGGCAATGGGTGAGCAGCCAGGTACAGGATGCCCTGAGGCATGGAGAACAAATCCATCAGTGCTGCGTAGGCGCTCCTCTGTAGAAGGACCACCTACAGCACAGGAAACCAACGTATTGTAGACCTATCCTGCAAGCATCCCAAACCTTGAAATACATTAACAGAACATAAATGTAGAGAACAGTCAGATCATATGTCAAAACTAAGACTCTTTAAGGGCCATGAAGTATTCCAGCCAGATGGTGCTGATGGGTTAGAACACAAGTCCTTGGTATTTCAAGAGTTTTCCCCTTTACTCTCACAGAACTGCAGCCTGCAAAGCACACACAGTGGCAGCACAATGATGAGACCTATAAGATTCATAAGAAGTATTTTATAAGATTCATAAGAAGTATTTTTCTTAGTTCATCAACTTTTAAACAATAAAGGAAGTCCTAAGGATCCAGAGAACTTAATACTCTTTGGTTTTGGTACTAAAATTTTAAAAGAGCTAATATATCAAGTCAGTATATGAATAAAATTCCATATGAAAACATTTAAAGTACATTAGATTTTTGGTCAAGATGAAAGACTGAAAAAAACTCAAGCAATCTATTCTAATTGGGTTCCCATGGTAACTGTACAATTGGGTTTTTCAGTATAACATCCCAAAGGCCCAATGCACACTTGTAAAATATACTTCAAACAGCCTGAATTGTTTTTACATTACAGCACTCCCAGGAAGATCAATTACTATACATCCCCACCCTAACTATTAGTGGCAGGAGATGTTAACACTATTGGCCATATTAACATAAGTCATGTAAAAACACCACGTATCACCATCATTATATAAAACTAATTACACACTTCAGATTCATCAAACACGTTCTGAGTAATAAACCTATAGTAGTCTTGTCACGAGATCATGTTTACTGAATGTTAGAAATCAACCCCAAATATATGCCAAACCATTTTGCTTCTTATATTGATTTCAAGGATAAACAGAATCAATCATTAATAATTACATTATAAGATGACCCATAGGGTTAATCATATTCTTAGAAACTCTGACTATGGAATCAAATATAGATGCACAAAGACACAACCGTGCAGCATTCACAAGCAGGCTGTATGTATTACCAGTCATAAAAAAGGAGGTGCATCCACTAGCACACGACTAATGAACTGGTGGAAATAACAGCACTATTATTCTGCTTTCTTAAAAAAGAAAAGCACAAACAGCTATAAAGGAAAGTTAGTCTCTGATTGACCACCTTGCCATGTTGGCTCTCAAATTCAATCTCTGGAAATGCAATGCTGGACGTGGGCACAGCTCACCCTCCAATGGCCCGACCTCAAAGCTGAAAAGCAATGATGCCCCACACCCTCTGCAAACAGAATCCAAAGCCTACCAGTTCAGCTATACTTCCAGGAATAGATAAATAAAAGAAAAGAAAACCTAAGATCAGTTTGAATGAGGCTAATCTTATCTCTCAGCCAACCAACAAGGAATCCTAGCATTTCATGGACAGAAGGAACATCAGCAAATAACCGGAGCTATTTTCATGCAAGGGATTTCCCTTTTTCTCCCCGCCCTTTTCAGGACATTGTATTTAGTCACACTGAACTTCAGCAAAGCAAGACAAAGGGGAAAAAAAGTTGTTTGTGAATTGTTTTTCCAGGGCAGCAGTAACAGTCTAAAAACGTCCCACCACCAAAGGCGACCCACGGCTCTCCAAGCAGTTGTGTATTTCATGGCTTTTTTTAGATGCAGAACGCCCCACCTTGTGATTTTATAAAGCTAAATTGAAAAGTTTTAATCATTTAACTGGGCCTTAAGTTTACTTTAAGTGTTTATTAAAAAGTTTAACTAATTAACAGACCTTCTGCATGCTCAAATATACAAACAACCCAAAATAATTTCACTGTTTGCATTGCACTGACTCATTTAAAGCAGTCAGATAACTAAAATATTATTGGAATGCTAATTATGCAGCTGCAACACTTACAAGACAGCATCAATGCTTGCTCTCTACTAACAAAGAGTAGACCAAAAAGCCCATTGCTCCAGCATCCCACCTTCACCAACAGCACACAGCAAGCACTTAGTGATTGCTTCACTTGTACACCGTCCCACCCCACAAGATATGGGTTTCAAACCTTCCCAATCAGAAACAGGATTTCTGAATGTGAAAGCAAACTCCCAAAGGTCTCAGTGTTCACCCACTTGCTTTCTGAACCCAAACCTAGCAACCTGATTCCAACACCATCACTCAGCTGCACCCCATGCAGTGCACACAAGTGATCTGAACTGCCACCTGTTGCTCCTTCAGATGCCACTTGTTCCTGTTCTTTAAGAGGCAGAATTATTCTGTCTTCCTTTGACTCAACACTATCGGTCCTCTATCTATAGGACCAAGATATGTTATTCTGCTTAGAAAGCTGAGAAGAAAAAAAAAAATAATCATAAACTTTATACCAATAAAATTCCATTTTGGGGAGATTAACCTTAAGTGGAATCTATTCAGATGAAAATACTTCCATATAATTGAAAGTGTTGGGCAGAACTTCAGCTGCAGGCTCAAGTTTAAGAAGCGACTTGAAAACGTACCTGAAATGGTTTCTGTTATTGAGTACATCATAACAAAAAGTAGCACACAGTCCTGACACATCAAGATGCTTTTTCACTGTTGATACAAAATAATAAATAAGCAGACTCCTTGAAAAGAATTAGCAAAAAGCATCAAAATCATAGAATCACAGAATGGCCTGGGTTGCAAAGGAGCACAACACTCATCCAACTCCAACCCCCTGCTGTGTGCAGGTCACCAACCAGCAGCCCAGGCTGCCCAGAGCCACATCCAGCCTGGCCTTGAATGCCTGCAGGGATGGGGCATCCACAGCCTCCTTGGGCAACCTGTGCCAGTGCCTCACCACCCTCTGGGGGAAAAACTTCCTCCTCATATGCAGCATAAACCTCCCATCTCAGTTCAAACCAAAATGGTGACATACCTCAAAAAACTAAATCAAAACAACTGAACTCCAAAGCCACACGAGCTTTATTGGTCTTCAAATATACTCCACTTTTTACAAACAATAGTCTGGAGCATAGGTTACAGTAGGTTACAGTATCAGCACTTTTAAAATTGCATACTATATTTTGGGAAAATATTCCAGTACAGGCTTGATTTGTTTTTATAGTTGCTGTTTCTCTACCTGTCTGTTGAAATTAATGCTGGCCAAGCACAAGAATGGAAGGAAAAAAGGTAACAGGTTTCTCTTCTGCATTAGGAAGGGTTTGCTCATTATACCTTCCTACAAATTAGCTAAGCTGAAGCCCTCACTAGGACACCTCTGCTTTTTTAATTATGGCATTAATGAAAAGATCTGCAAGAACAGCCAAGACACCAAAACCTGTCACTGCCTCAAAGATTTCGAGCCCCCTAAAATTAAAACTTCATTCTACCTTTCCCCATTAGTTACATTCTCTTCACCAGTCCAGATACCTTATGAACACCCAGTAAACTAGAGAATTGCACAATCCGTCAATAAAGTAAGCGTATTTTGAACTACTGTCCATATGACTCAATTTGTCAGTAAAAACTGCCACCAGCGCTGCGCTTGCAGAAAAATGTCCATAAATGCATTATTGCGACTGGCAGATCGATGTCCATAATAAAAACAAATAGATTTAACAAGTGCTTGCTTTTACGAGTCGTGCCATTGGTGGGATGCGCATTCGGCTTCACCCGTCAACTACGGGGAATGGGTAATACAGGCCAGGTTAGGCACTTGCTGACTTCACCAGTGTTACAAACAGGAAATTATTCCAACGCAGGAAATCTTTACAAGCGTTAGGCCGAAGCCTAATGCCTTCAGGATGTACTTAGAAGTTTCACATGTTCAGAATTCAACATACTGTTCTGCGAAATATAAAATGAGAAGCGTTGCCGTTATTACAAAATGCAAGGCTTTCTGTGGAAAATAAATGCAACTCGGGTCAGCTAAATCCCTAGCAGACAGCTCACTATGTTCTCAGGTTGATGTAAACACCACAAAATGCCCAACAACCCAGGACCTGAAGCTTGGCTCCCCTAAAGTCAATGATTCAGCACTTACACCAATACAGCACAAGGGCCATCACAGCAGGAACAAGGCCTCAGTCACCACAAAAGATAATCCCATCCCTTGTATCAGAGATGAAGGGCAGGGCTCACAAGGAAGTTCTGCACTGGCTGCTCGGAACACAGCCAGGTAGAGCAGCTGGAATACTAAGGCTGAATCAGTTGTTCTCACTCCCCCAAATTCCAACCTGCACGCGGCCGTAGACAACAATACTACAAGAACAGCTGTCCATGTCTCCAACATACTCTCCTTTGGATTTTTTTACACTACTGTTCCTTCTAATAAAGTTTCCCATCACTGAAGTCAGTTTAAGCAGAATTTCTTCGGCACAGCCTTTCCATCTTATCCACGCAACAAACTTAATACTTTTTCTCCACAAGCCCTTGAATTAGCCATTCAGGGAAACCCCGATAACCTTCCCAAAGGGCATGAGCTTCTCCTTCAGGCTACCATTCCTTTAGTGATGCCATTAACTGATTCTCCACATACGTTAAGCATTAAGCAGTGGTGACAAGTTAATTACAGAGTTATCAAGAGATAAAGTAGTCACGGTAACACAAGTTGCAATATAACTACAACAGTTTCCTATAGAGCTTCTGTTCAGTTGCTGGTGTAATTGGTGTAATTAACTTGTCATGGATCAGAATGCAGATAGGAACTGCTAAAGCCACCTTGCAAGCTCACATGGGTACATCTTATTTCCTCTGAAGCTTGAGACTTTGGGTGGAGTTGTCCAGATGCGCTATGCTTCTGTTTAAAAACAAAGCAGACAAAACTTTTTTACTTGGGCATCTCCAATTCTGTCACACAAACTCACAGATCATTCCAAGAACGCAAACTGGGCAAATTCCTGAGAACTGTGCCTCGTTACACACAAGTAGCCTGCACTACAGGGACATGTAGGGGCCTTTGCTTCATAGAAAATAAGCTTCAGAAAGCACCACAGATGTCAACTGTGTATAAAGAAGTTTAAAGATTACACAAACTGGAGAGACAGACCTGTTTGAACCCTGCCCTAAAATGAACACCTGGCATAATAACTTGGGTTTAAAACAAAGTGCTGTGCTATCTGTGTCCACGTTCCAAAGCCTAAAACCCCATGGGAGGCTGCCCCACTGTCACCAACCCTCCATCTCATGGCACCATGCACAGCCACAACGGCCCAAACTTTAACCCTCAAGAACTTTTCCTAGTGGGAAGCCACGTACAGGAGCACAGCTCCTTCCTGAGCTGAAGGACAGCCCGCATGCAAGGCAGAAGGAATCCTAACACAGGAACTGCCTTGTGCTATCATGGCTCCCTTAAGCTGCGTGTCTGTGCACACAGGGATGACAAAAAGCCCCAAGGCAGATCACAGAATCACACACAGAATCACAGAATGGCCAGGGTTGGAAGGGACCTCAAGGATCGTGAATCTCCAACCTCCCACCACAGGCAGGGCCACCAACCTCCACATTTCATAGCAGCCCAGGCTGCCCAGGGCCCCATCCAACCTGGCCTTGAACACCTCCAGGGATGGACGGGGCATCACAGCCTCTCTGGGCAGCTGCTCCAGCACCTCACCACTCTCATAGGAAAGAGCTTCCCCCTGACACCCAACCTCAATCTTCCCTCCTTCAACTTAAAGCCATTTCCCCTTGTCCTGCTGTTATCCACCCTTTCAAAGAGTTGATTCCCCTCCTGTTTGTAGGCTCCCTTTAGGTACTGAAGGCTGCAATGAGGTCACCCTGCAGCCATCTTTTTTCCAGGCTGAACAAGCCCAGCTCCCTCAGCCTATCTTCGTAGGGGAGGTGCTGCAGCCCTCTGATCATCCCCTGATCAGGGAGGCAGTGCTGTGTCTCGGCGGATCTCAGTGTTAGAACATGAGCAGGGCAGCGAGGCCACAGCCGCCCCGTGCCCAGCTCGCTGCTTCTCGGCTGAAGCGCGGCTCTGCCTGCGCTGAAAATCGCCAGATGCCAAAACCTTTGCACTAAAGCAACGTTTCCTCCCCAAACGCTACAAGTAGGAAGGGCCGCGGATGCAGGAAGCGAGCCGTCCTCCTCACTCACTGCACACACACAACTTACAGAGACACCGAACTTGCAACGCAGACACGTGCAGCGCTTCCGACCGCTCACCGCCCCCCGCCGCACCGCCGAGTTCTCCCCGCCCCGCTCCCGGCCCGACCCGCAGCACCGCCCGCCCGCCCCGGCTCCTCCTCCCACAGCCATGAGGCCGCCATCAGCCGGGCCCAGCGGTCCCGCACAACCTTACAGAGCACACGCGGGGCTCGGAGGGGCGGCGGCAGAGGCAGAGCAGCCCCGGTGAGCGATCTCACCTTGCGGGCCCGAACCTCGTGGCCGCTGGTCGCCTCCGCGCTCAGCTGCTCCGAGAGCCGGTCTGGGCCTCTTGGTAAACATTCCCCACAACCCCACGGGGGCCGAAAGGAGCGTGCTGAGTTCTGGCTGCTGCGGCGAGCTGGGGGCAGAGCGCGAGATTTGCTGCGCGGCCCAGTTCGCCATTTAAAGCGTTCCCTCGCCTGTCCTTTGCTTAGTGCCGGGGTGCGGGCAGCCGGCCCGCTCCGCTCAGTTTGCACGTTTACAAGTTCCGCAAACCCAACTTCTAAAAGGCAGCACGTGGAGAGGAAAGCAGAGCTTTGTTTCGCCTCGCAAAAGGAGCGCTGCTGAAGTTTGCAGCTCTCATTTTTCACCTAAAGATTTTTCTTGCTGTCTGAAACTTACACCTGAGTTACATCAGCAAAAAAATTTTTATAGTGGTGCTGTAGGGATGCAGAAGTTATCACAGAATGGGGAAGTGGAGGAATCCACGTGGGAAATAACAGAGCAGCTTTAAAAAGTCATCACAGAACCCTAGCAATCTATTTTTTTTTTTTTTCTACAGGAAGTGAGTGCTGCAAATAAAATAGCACTGAGTGAGTGCCTGTGTGTTAAATCTGGCTCTAAAAAATGACAAAGTTTGCTCCAAAATGCAGAAGTTTCTCCAATGCAATTGAAGATACCTTTGGAATAGTTGCACCGGGGCAGACTTATAGCAGGGCAGTTGTGAGCAGGGGACATTGAGCAGCCTGTTCGACCATCTTTGCCATCTACATAAGCAAGGTGTTGGCCAAAAATCTCTGCACATCTCAGAGTAACAGTGTACAGTGTTTCCACCCCGTCCTGTTAACTGTGACTTTTATGGACATAGCCATTTAGATATTAGGAGGAAGTTTTTCCCCCAGATGATGGTGAGGCACTGGCACAGGTTGCCCAAGGAGGCTGTGGATGCCCCATCCCTGCAGGCATTCAAGGCCAGGCTGGATGTGGCTCTGGGCAGCCTGGGCTGCTGGTTGGTGACCTGCACACAGCAGGGGATTGGAGCTGGGTGAGCATTGTGCTCCTTTGTAACCCAGGCCATGCTGTGATTCTATGATTTAGAGCAAGATAAAGGTGATCCTTGTGATCGGTGAAGGATAAATTGCAGTTATTTTGTTTAAGAAAAATAAATTCAAATCTCTTTATATGAGCATTTTCCCAATACCTTTAAGAGGCACAGAAACAATATTTCAGTTAAGGAGAAATGCAGGAAAAGCTATTCCATTTTTGTGATAACTTACAAACATATTCATATTTTCTGATTTTTTAAGCATTCAAAATTAATTTCTGTTACCTTTACAGTAACCTTTGCTAGTGAACAGATTACTTAGACTTACTACATAAGCAGTGCTGTATGCTGTCAGGAGAAAATGAAGCTTCCCAGCATCTTTAATGAAGGTCGGATTAACAGTAAATGAAAAGGTATTGCCATGGTGTGCCCCATACAAGTGCAGTGGCTTATGTGAAGACAGTCTCATCTCTAAATGAACAATCTCTTCATTTCAGTAAACTGTGGACTGGATGGGATACCCAAGGGATAGTTATTATTTTAGAATGCAAATATCAAACTTCTTAAACTTGGATCCTTTATTTTCTTTTTCCCAGATGTTTTACATTCTGGTATTGTGTTTAAAAGGAAGGAGTGTGGAGGTTTGTAATCCAACCATTCTCAAAGTCAGTTTCAGTGGTCCTCCTTGCTATAAGTTGTCATTTCTTTGCCTTCAGGATGCCAACGTGAAGATGAGCACTGCAGGTCAGTCTGTGCTCTTCCAGTTTTGGAGGACCAGGCTATTGACCGGCATGGGCATGGCAGTTGTTAGCACTGACAACAGCACTGCTTGAAGAGAAAACTTAATTAGCACTGAATTCCCTGAAGGACTGCTTCCCAGTAGACTATGAATACGTAATGTCACTGTATAATTAAATACTTACAGATTTATGCAATCTTAAAACATATAGGAGATTCTCGGGCACATCCGCATAGGAGATGTGAGTAGGCCTGAAGTCCCTTTACCTCTGCTCTGTGTATCCGAGCCATGATGGGAAGTGTATGGGGCTGCTTCATGCTTGAAACTGTGTCCCTGCCATATTCTTTACTTCTGGGGTTGGGTCAGGTGGAGTGAGTCAGGTTGTGCTGGCACCTACCTGATGAGAAGCGAGTGACAGGAGAAAGGGTAAAGCAGGATATCTGCTTGAGTTTCAATTAACAGCGTGAGGTTCATTAATTCCTTCCAGGTATTAGTGAATGTTTACAATTTTAAGTGCTTTGGAAATTTCAGCCTGGTATCTTATCTCTTAAAAATGAACTTATTTTACTTTGAAAATATTATAATGCCAGATTAAAGGGAAACAGTGCTAAACTGAATGAAATCACTCTGTGCTGTTCTGCATTTCTGAAAAGTAGCCACTTCCTGAAACTTCGTGTGGAAGCCTCCAGAAAATGCATATAAATCTTTTCTAACTCCTCTCCCAGGCTGATCTCCTTATTGCCTGAAGCATGAAAATTGATTATCTTTAATATGATTTTAGTTTGCATTATAACAGGTTTGAATAGGGAATGTATAATGTCCGGACCCTCTTAAAACCAAGCATTTGGGGGTTTGGCAGTGAGTCCACAACTTGTCTGTTTGCAGTATGAAGAAGCGTAGGAATTGAAACCTCACTGTGTTCTAACCTAATCAAAGTGTCATATTCTTCTGTTAGCAGATAGATGATGTAAGCAGGGTACTCCTGAGCACTTTGCACTCTGCCCCAAGAATTCCACACATCTTATTCAAATCTCCTCTAATCCCTCAGCTGGCCAGATTTTAATCTTTATTATTTTACCGGTATAATTCCAACCACTGAACTTTTGAATTCCCTCCTAGTCTATTCTTTAATGGATAGGAAATTGCTGGGAAGACTATTTCTAATTAGATGTATCACAGGCCAATGACAAGAGTGTCAATAGAAGATATAAACCCCCTTTTTCTGTAGATTCTGGCCTGTTCCTACTGCTTTACTTGGTATATCTTGTAAGGATTCCTTCTTAAATTATCTGTAAGTGCCACTGGTTGTTAATTTTCTTGCTCCAGCAAGAGTCTCCAGCTTCTGCATGACACATCCAGTTCACTAATACTAAAGCTTATGGGGCATGTTTCATAACACCAATATTGTAAGAAGACAAAAGATTTCTAACGTTTTTTGAATCTTGTCATATCATAGAATCACAGTCATAGAATCATACAATGGCCTGGGTTGCAAAGGAGCACAGCGCTCATCCAGCTCCAACCCCCTGCTGTGTGCGGGTCGCCAACCAGCAGCCCAGGCTGCCCAGAGCCACATCCAGCCTGGCCTTGAATGCCTGCAGGGATGGGGCATCCACAGCCTCCTTGGGCAACCTGTGCCAGTGCCTCACCACCATCTGGGGGAAAAACTTCCTCCTAACATCCAACCCAAACCTCCCCTGTCTCAGTTTAAAACCATTCCCTTTTGTCCTATCGCTGTCCACCCTTGTAAACATTCATGCCCCCTCCTGTCCTAACCCTTTATTCTTCATTCAAGGCATTATCTCTGGGATTCTTCCATGATTTGTTGGTAAGTTTGCTGAATATGGAATACCATTCATGTAAGATGTTGTGTTCAGGTACAAAAAAATGTTTTCCCAAACTAAACCCACTTCTGTCTGCAGTTAAGTTCACAAAGCCCTTCTGGTGTCACCATGTGAATTTTCTTCTAAGTAAACCAAAGCTCAGTCTGATTACAAAAACTTCAGGGTGACAGAAGTTCTGAGATGGAATGGAAAATTTTAAGAAAGGAGATTTTATTAAAGGCCTCAAGATCAGAAAATGTTTGTGTCTGGATTAAATTCCTCCTTAAGGAACAGCCTCTGGAAGCATCCACCTTCAGCAACACCTGGTGGGGAAGAGACTTGGGCACTGGAACTGCCACTGCTGTCCTGTTAGAGTGATGTACAGCCAGGTGGAGGCTCTGCGAAGATGTCCTATTGAATACCACTGGCACTATGGACCTCATTTGTAGTTCTTGAATTTTCCCCAGAGGAAATAGTCAGATTTGAACAAAAGCTTAGTATATTTCTGCCTCTGTGTGTCTGTGCCTTACTGAGTCAGAATCTGGCCTGGATCACTGTGCTCGTGACCTCCCGGCTTGAACCTCCTCATCTGTGAATAAGTGCAGTAATTCACCTTTGTATGATTTCACTTCAGTGAGTGAATAAGTGTTGCTTTTCACTTTGTCTAACTTCCAGGAGAAGTGTAAAGGCCGAACAAAACCAGAAACTCTGTGATTTTTGTTTGCTGGGATGCTTGCATCTTTCCAACAGCAGGGATGTGTCCTGCAAATGTGAATATGTGTGTGCAAAAAGCATGCTGAATCTGGTTTCAGAATAGGTTTTAGTAATAGAAATCATATCTTCTCCAAGGGTTTTGTTTGCAGCATATTATGAGAGTTTGTCTTTATGTTTTAATTGGTGTGAAATGCTAAGATGTGCACACCTGGGTTGCTGGAAGTGGAGCATGTGTGTGAGTGGGCAAGCGTTTCTGGGAACTCTGAAAAGAGTTAAATTTTGATGAAGTGGGATATGAATTCTGGGTTTCTCATGGAGAATGAGAAATGAGGGCTAAGGGTTATGATAGAGGAAGTGTGACTTTGTGGGACTCATTCTTCAGTCTGGGTAGGAGCAGGCTGAGCATTTGAAGGACTCTTTGTGGCCAAGTACAGAGACCTGAAAGAACCACTGGTGATAGCAGATCATTTCCTGCAGCAACTGAGATGATTACAGAACCTTCTTCTTGAATAAGAGCATCTTCCTTGCAAAAAATAAAAAATAAATTGGGATGTCTGTGTCTGTGCAGTGTATTTCCACACTTCTTGAAATTTGAGGGAGTTCAGATAAAAATCTGAGGCTTTTAAATCCTCATGGTCATTCAGTTAGTTTGTAGCCACCGCTAATGCAACTTCTTGTCTCCCTCTTCCCCCAAAATGTGATCCAAGCCTATTTCCAGCCTGAAAGCAGAGACCCAGCTCTAAAATAACACAACATGAAAAGTAAGCTAGAAATCCGGATACATTGAGTGGGAATACAACTAGTTCCTGCACTGGGAGGGGAAG